TGCCCCCCACTTCCTTTTGGGGGGGGAGCCGTGAGTCCAGGAGGACCCCCAAATTACGCACTGGGTCTGTCTGGGGCAGTGCTACCACATCCAGAACCATAGATGACAAAGTCCCAGATACAGAGGTGTCATTAACCCACAGCCACTCTGTCTTACCAGGGTTCAGCTGAAGCCTGTTGTTCCCCATCCAGACCCTTATAGCCTCCAGGCACTGTGAAAGGGTGGTCACGGCATCACTTACCTTACCTGGGATGGAGATGTATAATTGAGTATCATCAGCATGATGGCAAATGATCTCACCCAGCAGTTTCATGTAGATGTTGAAAAGGAGCAGAGAGAGAACTGAACCCTGCGGCACCCCACAAAGAAGGGGCCGAGGATGGGACCTCTCGCTCCCTATCACCACTGATTGGGATCGGCTCTGAAGAAAGGAGGTGAACCAGCACAAGACCGTGCTGCTCACTCCCGATTTCCTGAGTCGTCCCAACAGGATACCGTGGTCAACGGTATCGAAAGCCTCTGAGAGATCAAGGAGAGCAAGGATGGTCGCACTCCACCATCCCGCTCCCACCAGAGATCATCCATAAGTGCGACCAGTGCCGTTTCCGTTCCATAACCAGGCCTGAAACCTGTTTGTTGTTTTGTTCAAATTGTTCTTATTTGGGTTGTTGTTGCTGCTGTAACCACTACTTCCATTTATTATTATTAGGTTCTGCATCCTCTAGTTTGATGGGTTTTTTTGTTAATTTATTTACTGCAAGCAATATGAAAGGTTGGCATCATTCATAATATCCAGAATCAAACTCTAAACTGAAATGACACTACAGATAGTTCTTGACTTACGACAATTCATTCAGCAACCATTCGAAGTTACATGATCATGATCGGGGCACTTGGAAACTGGCTCGCACTTATGACCTGTTGCAGCACCCCACAATCACATGATTGCCATTTGCGGCTTTCCTCCTGGCTTCCCCAGAAAGTCAGTGGGAAAGCTGGCAGCGAAGGTTACAAATTGCTGGGGTAAGTCTCCCTGCACCTCTCTTGCATCGTCATGCACCCCCAAGCACCCTCCCCAGCCCTTGCTGCATCTCCCTTGCACCCTCACACACCCTCCCTGACCCTCGCTGTGCCTCCCTCATACTCTCGTGCATCCCGTACACTTTCGCTGGCTCTCACTGCCCCTGCCTCGCGCACCCCTTGTGCCCTCCCCATCCAACAGCAGCCACTTACTTGCTTGCTGGCCTGCTTGTGAGCCACCTTGGACTTGCAATTTCTTGCTGGCTTCCCCACTGACTAGGTTGTGGGAAGCTGGCAGGAAATTGCCTCGCCTAACAACCATGGGATTTGGTTAAGGATGGCAACTGGGATTGCAGGGATTGCCATCACTAAGCGTTGTGGTTGTGCTTAACGATGGCATCCCTTAGCAACAGCAATTTTGGTTCCAATTGTTGTAGTAAGTTGAGAACTATCTGTACAGCTTTGAGAATAAATTCCTGTTAAATTTGAGTCTGTAACTTTTTATGCATTGTTTATTTTATCTTTTGCAAACGAGCAGACCGTTGAAGATTATTGGTTAACATTTGAATTTGTATATATTCATGTGTGTGTATGTACAGTATATGTTTTTTTTCCCAATGATGTTCTTAAAGATTATATAAAACAGATAAAACTAATACAAAAACCTAATACAAAAATACATTAAAAGAAAAAAAATATTAAGAAAGTGCAGAGAACCCCCCCCAAAAAAGATAAGAAGAAACTTCCCCCTTCATCTCCAGCAAGTATATTCAATATAACAACTTATCACTGTCTCTTAAAATACTATCTATTACATCTTCATTCCATACTTTAGCCCATTTTCTATAGACCCATCTCTAAATCTTCAGCTCTCCTTATCAATCAACAAAAGGTGTAAAAATTAGCAGACATAACTAACAACATAAGCACTAGTCCCCCTTTCAATTTAAACATAATCCCCTAATCCCTCTTTATAATCAAAATCTAATCCCAATTAACAATTAAACATTACAGAAAAGCTGTTAAACATTACCAGAAATAATAGTCCCCTATTTATATACCAAAAATAGTAACATAGATATTACAAACTAATTCATTATACCCGATTAAACATTTCCAAAAAAGAACTCTCCAAAGTAACCATTAAACATCACCAAAGATAGCAACCCATTACTTAACCATAATCAAATAAACCAGTTTTGTATTTTTTTCTTCCTCCTCCCATCAGTCCTTGAATCCCATAGATAATTCTAACATCTGCTTTCTTCTACTATCCTTGTCTCTTCTCTCGAAATCCTTATCATTATCAAAGTGTGTATATAATTTCAATGTAGCCACTCCAGTAAGTCTCTTATATTCCAATTTAAACAGGTAATCCACATCCCTCTTTTGATACATTATTTGCATATCTTCTTAAATTTTTAAATGATCATCCAATTCCATTTGTAAATTCAATATTTACATCTCTTTCTTACAGGTTATAATTTTTAAGTCCACCTTAAAACCCATTTTGGTTATCCTCTAAGGGAATTGTTTCTCTTCAGTAACAACTTTGGTTCCAGTATAGGGTTAAATAGTCCAAGCACTTCTTGAGCCAGCTTATAAAACGTTTCCTTTAAAGTAGCCATCTGTGTTCTGTAGTGATTAACCTTCAAAGCTTTGTTATTAGGTCCACATGAT